GTGGGTATGTGTGTGTGGGTGGGTGGGTGTGTGTGTGTGTGTGTGCGTGGGTGTGTGAGTGGGGGGAGGTATGTGTGGGTGTGTGTGCGGGAAGTGTGTGAGGAAAGGGGGTGGGAAGAGGGGGTATAATCCTGTATTAGCCATACGTATACACAAAAAGCAAAATAAGAGGAGTACGAGAGGAGAGTCTTTGATTCTAAAATTTTCAGTCAATTAATGTACATTTTGAAAAACTTTTAATCTCACATGATCTAATTGTTCAGTCTCCCAGAACCCAACACTTCTGTGTGGCAAAATAAACAGTCGCATTTCATTCTTTTGTGTACTTGATGTTAAGCAACAGCTTGCTTTGAAGATGAAGCCAAATTCTTCAGCTTGCTCAAAAGACTGCTAATACATTCCCATGTACAAAGTTTAAAATCCAGCAAAATTGTTCTCAAAACCTCTTAAAAATCAGAAGGAAAATGGGTAACATATTCTGGAAAAGTATCTTTAAAAATGGCTTCACTTACAAGAATGGTTCATCACCAAACAAATGTGCTAAACATTAACAACAACAAAAAAATCCCTCATCCTGTATGAAAACCCAACAGGCTTGTATTGATCCAACAGTCAATTATTCAGCTGGCGAAGGAGCATAATAAACTAATAACAGAGTATTCATAGAGACTTTAGCTCTGTAATTTACTGTTTCATGTCTTCCTTGCAATAACAAAAAATTGTTCTTCCTTTCAATTAAAGATAAAAGAAAGAAATGATAGAACTAATCACATTTTTGTATTGAGCTAATAACTGGAAATACGAGACGGCTCTGTTCAAAACCTAGGACAACTAATTACCAATCTCCAAATAATGTTTTACATACTCCTAGCAACTCATTACAAAATGTATCTTCGCTCAAGTGTCACTTTTACTATGACCAAATAAGATTAATAAGAATGCATTGGGCAAAAAGTAAAATGGATTTTTAAAAAGCAGTTTACCTTAACCTTTGAAGATCCAAAAATGATGGGGACTGCACCAACCATCAGTGGCCTCCACATTTTCTCCGTCATGTAGTCATTGCACACAGCATTTTCCATAGCAAGAGCAAACTTGTAGCGAGACAACAGCTCAAAGAATTCTTTGTGAGCCATTCCTTCTAAAGGAGCCGCAATTCTGTGTAAAGAAATTAGTCTGGTAATACTTCTGTGACATCAAAGTCTGGTAAAATACAGGGAGCAGTCTAAAAAACATATCTGTGCATACAGGAAAGTAGCTTTGTTCCCGCAAATCGGTAGCTCTAATTTGCAATAGGTAGATATTTTTTTCAAAGAAAACACAAATTGTTATTTGGAAAACTAATAATAATAATAATAGTTCGTCCAAGAACTGATAATAACCTATATATACCATCAAAGGAGGAAGAGAAGTCAAAGTTAAAGACCTCGCTCGCTACCGCAGTTACCTAACATAGTAAAGAGAGTGAAGTAATGGAAATAATAGAATGCAGTTTGTAATGATCACAAACATCAGAGCTCGCCTTGCCGCAGATGACAACGCCTTTCCTTTTTCCTAAAATGGTGTGCTTCCTAAACATAGGGTTAGTTCATTAAACCTTCTTGTGGCTTCATTTGTGACCTTCAAACGCTATTCTTTTTTAGAAGAATTTTTCACAAACAAAACACTTGAGGTCTGTTAGACCAGTGCCAATGTCATGATTTCACTGTCTTGGCTTTCTTGCTTCTCCAGCAGCCTCTGCTTTACAAACTCTGTCTTTCTCAAAAGCATAGCTCTTTTCTACGTGGCATGGTTTTACGCTTCTGAGATTGAGCAAGGTAGAGGGAGTCCCATTCACCTACGATAAGGGAGCAATCTTTCAGAGAAGACTTTTAGTGTTTTTCTTTCTTTTTTTTTTTTAATTGGAGAGAGGGGCGGTCAAGAATATTCCACCTTCCATAATAATATACCAACTTTGGGTTGAATTGAAAATAACTTTAGGCTGAAAATAGCTTTGGGGAACCGTATGTTTGGCACTCGGACACTGAGTCCCGACCACCTAAGGGGAATTTTCCTCAGGCGACAGAAGGTATTAGAGCCTAGTACCTAGAGGCTTTCGCACTCACAAAAACTTAAGTGTCTGGGATTTTATCTCTCCAATGAATCCCCAGTATTCTTCTAAGATTGGAGAAAGGAAACATGTTGAACTTGTTGGCATGTGTTTTGTACACTGTCCATCCACGACACAGCTACATATAAAACGGTTAGTAATATGACAACGCTATATACACTGAGTTTTGACGCTGTTAGTACACCATAGACGTTCCAAACTATTTCTTAGTTTACCAAATGCAGAGCTAGCTTTGCTTATCCTGGTTTCTGGTAGCAATTTTATCCTCAATCCAGGCATTACTAGAAAGGGCACTACAAAGATAGGTATGAATCTTCAGTGCATTGGGCTGGATATCATGCACTATGATGACCGGGTGGGGGGAGAGGGGGTAGAGCGATGATTGTTGAGCATTGAGCAGGTTAGTGGAAGACATCATGAACAGACTCGGCAAGGCAAGATCTGTACACAGAAGCATGATCAACATCTGGAAGTCAGGACAGTTTAGTATACAAACCAAGTTAAAGCTGTACAACAGCTGTGTACTATCCACACTCCTATACGGAGCTGAATGCTGGAGGATGACTGCTCATGACAGTGCCACGGTATCTTCCTTTCATACCACCAGCTTACGCCAAATCCTCAGAATCAACGTAGATCTGTTACGTAAATGCAGGCAAGAGAACATGACACCATAATAAAAAGGAGAAGATGGAGATGGATTGGACATGTTCTGAGAAGAGAACCAGACTCTATTGCGAAGACTGCTCTCCACTGGACACCCGAAGGACGTCGCAAAAAGGGCAGACCCAAAGTAACCTGGAGACGCACAGTAGAGTCTGAAATGAAGTCCTGGAATCATTCGTGGGGAACGCTGACCAAGATGGCCCAAAACAGGCAGAGCTGGCGATCCTTTGTTGCTGCCCTAAACGCCAGATGGCGTAATGGGTAGTAAGTAAGTAAGAGCAGGTTAGTGAAGTCTTTTAGTGCTGATGGACAGATACAGTCTTGCTTGCTGGTCTCGTCAAGTGATTTTAGGGCATAGTCATAAGTAAACAGGAGCTCACTTATCAGACGCTTTTAGCCGTTTTTGGCTTTCAACATCGACTGGTATCATGGGTCATGCACACTCACATCAGTTCTGCAGTCACACCAGGTGGAGATCTGAAAGTCTCCTGCAATACTGCAGAGAACAAGATGCGGAAAAGAGGCGGAGCCAATGCACAGCCTTGCTTCACGCCGTTCGTGACAAGGAACGGCTCCCATAGTTTTCTTAGGCTCTTGACCCTAGTCTGCATGCCATCGTGGAATTGTCTCACCACATTGATGAGCTCAGGTGGGCACACGAATTTTACCATAATTTTCACAGGCCTTTCGGACAGACGGTGCTACATGTCTTTGTGAGGTCAACAAATGTCAAGTATAGATTCATGTTTAGTTCACTACATTTCTCTTGAATAAGCCAGGCATCAGATACCATGTCTGCTTTGTCCCTCTCTCAAAAAAACTTAAACCACAGAGTTATAGGTTTCCCCCAGGATAAAGTTTTTTGGTGGTCATTTATATATTTTTTTCTTTTTGTAAGTGTATTACGGTGCTCGCAACTGCATAAGGTCATATGAGCGTGCGGGACACATTAAACTTTTTCAGTTGGTAGGAAATTTTGAATTTTGCGCGGGTGGCGGCCGAAGCCTACTCTTATCGATTTTAGACCACCAAGGGATCTTTAACATGCGCAACTTGCACACGGGCCCTCCGAGATTTTTCGCCCTTGTCCGAGAAAGCTAGGTGTAGATCTTTCTTACCAGAAGATCAGGGGTGTGGCTGAAAGACAGCAGTAAGAAGAAGCCAAGGAGTAGCAGTAGAAAGGCTGTAGAAAGAATCAGGAGCCCAGAGGAGGGGGGCAAAGGAGATGAGGGAGTGGGGGCAGAAAGAGGAGACAAAAGCAGACGACAGAACATTGCTAGAGAGCAGGAAAGAAGGTGAAAGGAGACAAATTTAGAGAAGAAAATTTTTCGGTCACTACCCAGATTCGAACCCGGGACCTGTGAATGAGAGGCCAACACCTTAACCTCTAGGCCACGAGAGCCCCCCCCCCCCCCCCCCATTTATATATACATATTTGTATATTATATATACACACACACACACACACACACACACACACACACACACATATATATATATATATATATATATATATATATATATATATATATATATATATTATATTTATATATATAATATAATATACATAATATAGATTGATAGATAGATAGATATCTTTCACTCTCTCCCAACGGAGCGTATGTATGTGTTGCTGCTGTAAATGTTGTTATATATTTCACGCTCCTCGAAACACTGTACGGTTATTTAAAAGGCGGACTCTCCAAAGTTCATCTCCAATAGGACTGAGTCAAATTGGTAGAGAGCCTTAAAAACTCCTCCAGACAATCTAAGGTCAAGCATGATATACAATAATCTAACGGAGCGTCCAGTGTGTGTGTGTATGTGCATGCGTGTGTGTGTTTGAGTGTGTGTGTTTGTGTGTGTGTTTGTGTGTGTGTGTTTGTGTGTATGTGTTTGCGTGTGTGTGTGTTTGTGTGTGTATGTGTGAGTGTTTTTGTGTGTATGTGTGAGTGTTTTTGTGTGTATGTGTGTTTTTGCGTGTATGTGTGGGTGTTTGTGTGTATGTGTGGGTGTGTTTGTTTATGTGTATTTGTGTTTGTGTGCTTTTTTGTGTGTGTGTGAGTATTGGTGTTGTCTCGGTGAGTGTAACTGAATGATTGTACTGATTTTCAAATAACTGGTCATCGAGCTGGAGAACTAAAAAATGTTAACGAAGACAGACATGTGCACCTGTTGTTAAATGCTAAATCAGGGGGGAATGAGCCAGTACCCTGATCAGTTCCATTTATTTTTTCAGAGAAACTTGCCACTTTTTTGAAAATATCAAACATTTTGTTTAAGAAGCAATGTCTGTAGGCGGTTTGCTTCTTCTTTCCTATCAAACATCCATTTGTCCTTATCGCGCCTCCTTCTTTTTCGTGTTCATTACTCTCTTGTAACTACTATATGATCTTCGGCATCTATGTGACCTAGTTGTATTGCAAGTGCCATAAAACTCTTATTAAATCAAACAGGCAATTTTTAAAAAGCAGTGATAAGTTCAAGAAAAAACAATAACTTTTTCTCCAATATGCCTTTTCATTACAATGACAATACAATGGAAAGCGGAAACTACCAAAACTACAACTTAAATCTTGGCGCACAAGTGCTGTGTTATTGTATAGTCACAAAAGGGGAAAATTGTGAAATTTTTCCTGATTTTTTCCCCATTTTACTCAATTTTCTCGAAATAATGTTATATTGATCAAGAAGTTTTTCAAGGATAACTGAACTAAATTTAGATTTAAGTTAATTGTGCAAAGGATCTTTGGCAAATTTGTTAGCAAGATAAGAAAGCCTATACTTTATTGGTCCAACATTGGACGAAACATGCAGTATGCCTTCACTAGCTTTGTAACACAAAATTAAAATACATGTACATGATACATACAGTACTAGTTCAACTAGTTCAACAAATTTCTCTCTCTCTCTCTCTCTCTCTCTCTCTCTCCTGCTCCCTCCCTCCCTTTCTGCCCCCCCCCCCCCCCCCCCCCCCCGCTTTCACATAGTAATATATAACAAGGAAGCTGTTTGGACAAACAGAGGAAAAAATGAAGTTTCACGACAAAACACGACATGTCGATTTTTTCCGGTTTTGAGAAAATTTAAGACTTCTGTTCTAAAACCATTTTTTGGAATAATTTTGAGCAACTTTGTTTTAGACTAAACGTGACGTAAGGCTTAGCTGATATTTTATTGTCTGGTGAAATCTATGTTGGATTATAGATCCCCATACATTTTTAACAAAACCCAACATATCCACATTTTATTAGTAAGGAAGGAAAAGAAGCAGCGACAAACTTTCATCGACTACAAGTGAAGTCACAAGACTGGAGGAAAGAACTTGATTGGCACGCAGAGGATATATAGTTGTCTATCAAAAAAGATGTACCACTTTTGCTGCATTTTGTTAAAAAAAAAAAAAGTATTACTTCCTGCAGTTCTTCAAAGAGATAAAAATGGTTGCTGGCAAAAAACCCTGAAAATTTTTAAGTGCGTAGGTGCACATGGAAAAAACATAATTGTGCAATTGTACCTTTCATATTAAATATGAGAAACAAAACTGAACAAACAGACATGGCAAATAAACTGAAAAAAACCCAGAATACACGGTGTTCTGTAAATATTTAACCACCCCCCCCCCCCCCCCGCGCGCGCGCGCCCCATCCCCGAAACATTTTGCTCATAGCCAAATGTCAGGAAATTTTCAAAGCCGAGGTCCTGCTTAAGCCAGAAAACTTTTATTCCTGTTTAACCTCTTGACTACTAACCATAATATATGCACCCCCACATGCTTTGGGAAATTCTAACTTACGCAAGATCTAACAGATCACAAACATTAAGTAACTGTCGTTCGCTAGAGTTAAAAGACAGATCATTGAAATTTATACCAAAAGAAAGATAAATGACCATATAAATTTATCCATTAACTCATTCGCTACGTATTATTTTCAGCTTGTGGACGAATTTTTTTCGGGAAGGCGAAATGAGATGATGACTAGTGCGCAGTTCAAAGATCTTTGGGGCCACAAATTCAAATAAATAGTAACATATTATGCACCGAAATTTTCAGTATGATTTGAAGAATACATCTGTCATGTTTATTTGTGTATTTTTCAACTTTGGTTCCTGTAAGAGGCGATTATGCAACACAATTTTTCTTGGATGCCGATAAAATTTGAAAATAAAAAATAAATCATCTTCAGTGAAACTCAAAAAATATGTTTGCACCTAGTCAAATGATACATCAAAATAACCATAAATGAATATAGAGCTGGAGAATAGTGAAAAATTTGCAGTTATTTATATATATTCCATAAAATTTTGCATATTTGGATCTCCGATATTGAAAAAAAAATTAAAAAATTTTATAATCTTGAAAAATGGACAAGATGCATTTACAAACAGAAAAAAAAACACTCGTATCGTAAATGGAATTATTGAAAATTGTATTTGGGATAAACCTATACATGTCTTGAGAGATAGTTTTAGTGCAATTTCACAGAAAAATTGTGATTTTTGTGAGAAAAAAATAATTTGACAATTTAGATCTCTAGACCTAGATCTAGATCTAGCACTGAAAAATATTGATTTCTCAATAACAGAGCAATGGCAATTTGAGCCCAATTGTATCAATATTCTAAAGAAGAGTCCTACATTTCTTTAGCGTGCAAAATAATTATATATTTTGTTGTGTAAAAGTAGTAAGACTGGTGTCTGGGTTATCATTTGAGCATCGCAATAAAACAAAGTCGCATAAACTTCGAAATCGTGTTTCAAAACTGATTCAAAACTTCCGATTTTTGGTGGAAACGCTTGACCCGAAAGTCAATATTATCATCATCATCATCATCAATGCCTTTCACCCCTGGCAGGGTAAAGGCCACATACAAGCTCCTTCCATTTATCTCTGTCCTGAGCCATCCTTCCAAGCTCGTTCCAAGTGAGCTTCATTTCTCTCATGTCCCTTTCCACGCATCTCCTCCATGTTTCCCGTGGCCTACCCCTGCCTCGTGCTCCTTGTGTGTTCCATTGCAGCGACTGTCTTGTGATGTTTCCGCTGGGCTTTCTTAAGGTGTGTCCCATCCATCGCCACTTTCTTAGTCCTATTTCTACTTCTATATCCTTTTGTCCTGTCCTTTCCCACAGTTCTTCATTTCTTATTCTATCCTGCCACTTAATTCTTAGAATACTCCTCATACATCTGTTGATGAAAGTCGACTTTATTCAGTACTGTCTTTGTCGTCTTCCAAGTTTCGCAGCCGTAGAGGAGCACAGACTTGACGTTGGAGTTAAAGAGTCGAATCTTGGTGCGCAGCGAGATGTTGCTTGCTTTCCAGACTTTTGATAATTGCTTGAAGGCTGACCTTGCCTTGGCAGTTCTTGCTTTAACGTCTGCCTCGGTTCCACCTTTACCATCGATGACACTTCCAAGGTAGGTAAAGGAGTCCACTTCTTCCAGGGGAGTGTCTTCCACTGTCACAGCAGGGCTTGAAACTTTTCCTAGCTTCACTACTTTTGACTTGCCTGGATGTATACGTAGGCCAACACTCCTTGATAGCCTGTTGAGTTCCTTGGTCTTTTCATGCATCTGAGCATGTGTGTGAGAGAGCAGCGCAAGGTCGTCCAGCTGCTGCCAAGGGATCCATTGTATTCCATTATGTTTGCCTCTGGTGGCTTCTTTCATGACCCAGTCAATTGCCAGTATGAAGAGGAAAGGTGAGAGCAAGCATCCTTGTTGCACTTGGAATAGAATCTAAGCTAAACTTTAAAATCGGTTCTCGAGCTGCTGGAGGCGGCTTAGCATACTGACGGCACTTTAGCCGTGTCCCCCCCCCCCCACGGCTCGGCATAGCGAATGAGTTAACCTGCATAGAACAAGCTATAAAGATGTAATATGTAAACAACTTGAAAGTACAAAAATTGAACAAGCTCTCCTATTTTATGCGTTCGCTCTGTCCCACACGATGTGTGTGAGAAAAACAACACGCCTAAGCCTGGGCTACCCATCAAACTATACATCAATAGAAAGAGAAATGAAGAGATGGTTTTATCCAGACAAGACTCAGGTAAAACAAACCATAACAAAATAAACAAGGGTAAAGTACTGAGACTAAACAAGTGTTCTGAGTCAACATGTCAGCTCTGACATGATGTGTGTAAGAAAAGCAACACACCTCGCTTCGTTTTCGGTTATAGAACCTGCGCTTCCTGTCCAATGTTCTATTCATGATTATGACCTCATAACTAACATTATAAGCTTTCTAAGGATATCATTGTCTTTATTCAAAACTTCATAGAAGCTGAAATATCATTGAAACAACAAAAGGGTTTTAGCCACCACACGAGATATGTTGACACAGCACTGGGCCGTGACATATGAAATACGTATAAAGCCCAGTCAAAGGGTTTAAAGGAAACATCAAGTGATATTGATTTGAAAGATATTCAAATACCCAAAAACGTATAAAGTTAAAAATTAGGACTATTTTACCCAAACACTGTGTTCTGAAGACCTGTGTCTCCCCTGAAAAAGCTTTCCTCCAGTAAAATGAAGCAAAGTTTTTTTTCTCAGAAGAGCAATTATACTTCATTCTTCAGCCCACACTCAAACGCACAAAACTGGATATTGAACTCACTGTTGCGGCAGCTTCCTGTTGTTGAGGCAGCCTCCATAGGAGTCCACAGAGATGTGTTTCATGAGTTGCTTGACGTACTCATCTCGATCTGAGGGTGGGTCACAGTCTGACTGCACATAGACAATCAGAGCTAAGCCTTCTTCCTCTTGATACCTGTGAAATACACATAGGTCATTGAGCAACTCAAATATGATAGTGTTATGTGATTTAAAAAGTGTGCGAAGACCCCCCCCCCCCCCCTAAAAAAAAAAAGGATAAATTTTTAAAGAAATTTATTCCTGATTTTAAAAAAGTCTGAATTGATTAATACTGATGCTGTCATATGACTCTTCAGTAATATCAAATTAAGCATCATATTTAGCTGATCAAGGGGACAATTAATGCACTTAAAATCATTGAATCACTGAACTTTGAGTACATGCAGAATTATTTCCAAAAGGTCATATGAGAGGCAGCGTGGTGAAATCAGGCGCTCCTCAAAATAATGAAATTGAAGAAATTGGCATTTTTCTGCCAGTTCAGTAATTTTTATAGAATTTTTGTTTTTCGGTTTAACATAATTGATGCCCAATTAAGAACACATTTCTGGGTGGATATTTATGAAAAATGTTAACTAAAGGCCCAATAATTGTAAACTTTCAGTTTCCAAGGACACTTGAACTTTGAAAATCACCAAATTTGGAGGCCATTTTCTCTTTTTTTTTACCTCTGAAATCAGTCGACCCCTACCCGCTTCAATTGCAAATATCTTGACTTCTATTCAAAATAACTGGGTGGTTTTTTTTCATCGAAAGGAAGATAAACAGACAGGTTTTAAGATAATACCAATTACTCCATATGCCCAAAAATTGACGAGCGCCTGATTCCACCAAGTCGTTACACATAATGTCAGATGAAATTCTAGAGCATAATTTAGTTATTATGTAAGCCTTTAGTGGACTAACTGGGGAAATAGTCTCGGCTATTACTTTCAATTCAAAGAGGTTAGTCGTGTCAATAAATTGAAATGTGTTGAAACGGAAATTTACCATACTATACTGAAATGAATGGTAAAGGTAAAGGTAAAATATTTATACTGAGTGAGCAGGCCACTCATAGACAGAGGGATGAGTCTGTCCCCTTTGAGTGAGTAATGCCTCTTTCCTTTATTCCTTCAAGAGATTGAAGTGAGCTTACAAGAGATGTCATTGATTTCACCATGCCTTCGAGATAAAATAGAAATAATGAAAATGTCAAATGAGACATGTTGAACAGGAGACCAGAACAAAACTGAATAAAACGATTCTAGAAAAAGTAGCATTTCACTGCAATATTAGCCCACCTGTTCTTTTCAGCCACAGTTTTTGTATAAGTGCTTTGCAATAGCCAGTCCAAGGACAAGAGGTGCTGAGTACTTATTGGGAAATGGGACTCTCTCCTGTGGGCAAAACATATTCTTTTTAAACAGTATTACAAACTTTTGAAGTAGCTATCTTCAAATATCATTTCTACAAAGAAAATTACTACTACATTTTCACATTACAAAAAGCAAAAATTGACTAACAATCAAATAAAAAGTTAATGGGAAGATTCACATACTTTTCAGACCAAAGAGATAGAGGAAAAGGCATTTGTTGGATAATATAAATGAGTAAAAACTTGAAGTTAAAATAATACTAAAACAGAAATACAGCTTGGCTGCTACACAATATTTAGGGTGAAATGCTTCAAACTTATGTATTTAACGGTTTTGTAATTAACTCTCTTCCTACAATATTTTTTATAAGCAAAATATACAAGAAGGTCTTTTAAGTTGCTAAGATAGTTTCATTTTACCCTAAATTATTCGTACAATAACAAAATATAAACTAGGAAAAAGTCATGTGTACTGAACATCATACCTAGAGGATCATACTCTTCCTATGATTCTAAGAATACAAAGTAGTATCACCAATTCATGCATACTAAACGCTTCAAACTAAATATTTCTTATCAAAAAGTCAGAAATAAATAACAGGCAAGCCCATGAGCAGCCTGGCTACTATATCATTAAGCCTTAAAACATTATGTTGGGGGATAATAAAAGCTTTTAAACAGATCAAACACTTTCATATTTTTCTTTTCATACTATACCTGAAGGTACTTGTATAGTTGAACAGTGATATAACAGGCTCATGACACAAAATGTAGTTATTCTTGGGAGATTCCTCATGAAATAAAGCCCACTCATGATTGTCTGCTCGAGGCAATGGCAAATCATCAGGACTGAAATCTGTTCCATAAAACATGAAAACCTGCAGGCAAGAAAACAGCATCATGTCAGTTGAACTATGATGACACTTTGATTTGCTACAGTGTGTATCAAGTATGATGGGTCTACAAGAATTTGCTTCTGGTGTAAAACCTGTTGATTTTTACTAATCTGGGGACACTAAATTTTAAAAAACAATGCTTGTTTTTTATGTTTAGGTCCGTTTTTTTAAGATGTAGCATGAATTCGCATTTTCTTACTTTACACTACAAAAAAAGAAAAAGGATGATTGGGATCAATCATTTTTGGTCGCAAATAGATTTTAGGAGCAATTTCTATTTAAGTTGCATCATATACTGCATATCGTCGGCAGAGAATTCTAACCGTCTAACTCGAAATTTTCTCGAATTGCTTTTTTCCTTAAAATAGATCGACATAACGTATGGCTACGTCCTATTAAAATCTAAAACAATTTTGACAAACAAAAGTCTTGTTTTAAAGAGAAATTCTAACCGTATATTCCGACTGGCTTCCGTGACTGAAGAATTCTAACCGTCTAATTCGTTTAGGTAGTCCGCCATTGTGGATCACGGCGATAACGTTTTGCTCTAAAGGAGGCGTTTGATTATAAATAAAATTCTTTTTTCCTGAAAATAGATCGACATGACGAATGGCTACGTCCTATTAAAATCTAGAACAATTTTGACAAACAAAAGTCCTGTTTTAATGAGAAATTCTAACCGTATATTCCGACTGACTTCCGTGACTGAAGAATTCTAACCGTCTAACTCATTTAGGTAGCTCGCCATTGTGGATCACGGCGATAACGTTTTGCTCTGAAGGAGGCGTTTGATTATAAATAAAATGTAAAATCAGAAAAGGCTGCTTTTGTTAAAGGGTTGTTCGACTGTGTCGAGCCTGTGGAGAAAAAGGAAAGAGAAAGCAGAAGATCGTGGTCCATGAAGTACCATCTGCGAGTGAATGGGGCCAGAGTAAAAGTGTGCACGGCTTTCTTCTTAAGTCCTGTACTTTGTTACTAGTGTGTTCACATTGTTCTTACATCTGGGTTGGGTGTAGCAGAGGGTGAGGTTCCAGTTCAGAGAAAAAGGGTTAGGGAGGAGACTACAGCATCAAAGGTACTTAAACAGTTTCTTCGTGATCTGCCCAAGTTGCCATCTCACTATTGCCGAGGGACTCCAGTAAGTTATACTTGGAACCTGTTTTCCAGAACTTACAAGCAGTGTACCGCCGTTTGTATAAAGAAAAGTATGAGTGTGTGTGTGTGTGTGGGGGGGGGGGGGGGAACTTTATTAACACATGCAAGAAATGAAGTCTGTTGTGCCATCTGACTACCACAAGTTCTATGACAATCTAGAACTGAGTACGTCAACAGTGCGCAAGTTAAAACCCACGGTTAAGTCTAATTTGATATGCAGTGTATTGTGTTTTGGTTTATGTAGTTTATTTTTAGCTAACCAGAGCTTTAGCTTCATTGGGTAGAGCATTTTAAAGCCTCATAATGGTGCTTGGACAAGAGGATAATTCATTCCTGTTGACACTCGATGCTGCTATGGCATACCTCATCTTGATGACTTTCTATGTAAAATGTGTTATTTAATTAGGCCATACATTAGGTGGAGATGCATTATATGAGGTTTAGTTGAGCTTTAAAAAAATCATATTACTTCTACAATCTTCCAACCAAGTTAAACCATGTTTTTAGAGTTAGAAGCATTTCAGTTTCTTCCACTGGAGAACTGATGGGTCGCTTTTCAATCTTGCTCAACTTCGAGCCAAGACCAACATCAACAAACCAAACAAGAATACGAGACCTTTTCTTTGCCGGTGATGCTGCTGTTGTCGCTCATAATGAATCAACCCTACAAATAATCCTGTGTTTAAGAAGATTGAGATGGCTGGGCCATGTCAAGAGAATGGACGACAACCGGATTCCGAAGCAATTTCTCTATGGACAACTTGGCCAGGGAAAGGGACCAAGGGGAAGGTCAAAACTGAGGTACAAAGACATCTGCAAAAACAGATTACCTAAGCTTGGAGTAGATGTCAGCATCAGTGAAGAAATAACCGAGGACAAGAAAACATGGAAGAAAATGATAAATGAAAGAACTATTATGCTAGTGACTAGAGAGCAAGCACTGCGACAGAATCTGCACTTCAAACAGGAAAAAAGTAGCCATAAAAGAAGCTCCATGAAGACAATTCGTATACGGAAATTTTTCTCTGCCCCCCCCCCTCACCCCCCCCTCTCCCCCCCCTCTCTCTCTCTCTCTCTCTCTCTCTCTTTCTTTCTCTCTCTCTCTCTCTCTGTCTCTCTCTCTTTCAGACCCCTCCCCCCTCTCTCTCTCTCTCAGTCCCTCCCCCCTTCTCTCTCTCTCTCAATCTCTCTCTCAATCTCTCTCTCTCTCTCTCTCTCTCTCTCTCTCTCTCTCTCTCTCTCTCTCTCTCTCTCTCTCTCTCTCTCTCTCTCTCTCTCGTAGCTAGACAAGAAACCAATCCTTCTCACAATTTCCTTGAGAATGGAGGATCAAATAGTAGCTTTATAGTAAAAACTTAACGACGCACTTAATCTGTCGACAAGCCCATTGCCTAATTAGAATTATGTGGAAATAAAGTGCGACGTTCAGTTTTAGATATAATAACAGTATTATTGTTAGATTCTAGATCTACAGTACTATGTAGTACTAATTAGAACTTTTATAGTAGGTTTCCTATTGGATTGACTGCAGGTGTAGTCATTTCGAGTTGTCCAGTAACACTAACGTGTCACGATGACTGAGTTAGACGTAACGAAGCACGTGGCGTTCCCGCCGGGTTGGAGAATTCTAAACGAACATTTCGTTCGTCGACACTTGGACGGTTAGAAATCCAAAACTGAGCGGTCTATCCGTATAACTCTGGTTTAGGACTTAAAATAATAAAATTTCGGCAATTTTTTTAAAAATACTTAAAAGTAGAGTCATGTATTCCAGTCTAGCGCATTTAAAGACAGTAAATCCCCATAAGAGCCTTTGAATTCAGTTTTTTGTCTCTCCTGTAAAATTTACGAAATCGGAGTTGGACGGTTAGAATTCTCCGCCGACGATATATAGGATGCAATATTTTCCTCTGTCATTTCATTGAGACCATTTACTTTTCAATCTGCTGAGTGTTTCAGGACCAGAAACAGGATGCTAAAAAACAGGGAACTTGGTTAATTACAATTCTTTTTAAAGGACAAGTTGCTCTCTCAGAAATCTGGAGAATTATTAAGCCACTTATGGTTCTAAATGCAAAAGCAGCGTATTTCATTTGGCTTTCTTGGGGGGGGGGGGGGGGGGGTTGTGTGTGTGTGGGGGGGGGGGGGGGGGGGGGTTGGGGGTTTGGTTTCATCTTTAAAGCACTCAATTTTTCCTAAAATCGGCTTTCAGCATTACTTTTCGGCAAAATTACATGGTGTATTATCATTTGACAAGAGGTCACACTGTGCACTGTGCCAGAAACCACACAGGAGGATTTTTATAACTACTTTCATTTTGCTGAGAATTTGAGTATTTCGTATTTGAAATGTTCCACTACAACAAAGATAAACAAAATCCCACAAAACAGTTGTCTTACAATCTAATAAAATGAGTATCTACCCCCTCCACTTTCCCCTTAAAAGTTAATGAGACAAAATTAGACATAATTCTGACTATAAGTTGAGGAGCAAAATAAAGAAGGCGAAAGGTAAATTACCACAGCTGCAAAGGGTTTTCATAAAACGTACAAATTAATCTTGCTTCTTTGTGTCATTCTATGGAAGTAAAGATCAAAATTCTTAATCTCAAGCTGACATCCTCTACAAACAGATTCCCATCTTTAAAGGAGACACTAAAAGAAAGGTCGGGGAAATGTAGAATAATGATGACATATGGAACTCATGCAGATTTCAAGGCTGACGTACATCATCAGTAAAATTACAGACAGATAGCAGACCTACAAAAATAATGATCACAGCCTTTTTTCGCTTGAATTGTGTTCCATCTGGCGTGTTAGGTACAAACAGACAAAGAATATTTCTACCTGTTTTTTGAGTTTTCACCCCAAACTCTACCACTAATCTCATAATACATCAAATATTACAGGCATATTTTATAATGGGCAGTAAACTTCTAGCATCTAACCTTCATATTCTTGTGATCTCTATATTTTCTGTTGTTGGTGAAAAAGCAACTGTTATCTCCGCAGTCTCTTGTAATTCCTGGTTCTCTAGTAAACTCAGTCCACCACATTATGATTGGGTCACTGGGATCTTGCAAGGGTAAACCGTCCTCGCTGCCTCCACCATTCTGCCGCTTGAGGTCTAACTTTCTCAGTTCTTCCATGATCTCTTGATCCAGAGGAATGTGTTTGTCTGAGACATGGTGTATACAAATTTGAATAAAATTGACAGGAAAAGATCAAATTACATGATTTCTCATAAAAACAACATACGTTCTAACCCCTGCAGTATTTCACTAAAAATATCACTTATTCTACTGAAGATGAATTAGTACTATGCTGAAACAAAACCAGCCTTGCTGACATTTGTTTTCTTTTCCATCACTTAAAATTTTAAAAAAAGAAATTATCAAAGAGATAATAATAAGTAATTTTCTTTCTTTTCCATCAGTTGAAAAACAAAAAGAAATTGTCAAAGTGATAAAAAGTCATTTCCCTTCCTTTGAAAAGGTAAAATTTAAAGCATCAACTCAATACGGCCCGTCAAATAGCACCAATAAAACATGTGTTGCATTAGCAAACTAGTTGCAGTTCAAATCCTGTTTGGTTACAAACAAATTAATGAAATATAAGGAGACAGAACATATAAAAACTCAAATACTAGCAATATTATTACAAAGTTTACAAGAGAACAAATGTGAGAATTTTTTTTACAAAAACAGATTGCAACTTACGATCTTCTCGAGTTTCATCGATGAACACATCATACATGACATCTTCTGGGAAATCCTCATCATGGAAAGTGAACTGTTTGAGATTGGGGTGATACCAAAATCACAAATAATATTAACATTATGTTGCATAGGCACCACAAGGATTTTTTATTCTTTTCATAAAACACTCATAACCAATAATTTCAAAGCAGCTTTCAAAACAAAGTGAACAAACGGCATTTTTTTGTTTTAGTAAGGTTTTACAGCACTCGCAACTGCATAAGGTCATATGAGCGCCAAAGCGTGGATGTCAACAAAGAAGTCCAAACGGAGAATCAGGCTTACTCTACTTACCTCTCTAGCCTCAACAGTACAAAGTCTGCTTCGACTATCAAGGCACCTCGGAAATAGCAGTTCACAAGAGAGTGACAAACATACAAAAGACGTAGAGGAAAAATGACGACAGTAAGGACGAGGAAAGTAAAAGCAGCAGTTTCCCCTATGTTGCTCCAGCACAAGATAAGCATGCAATTGATAAATCAGCCCATTCACAATTTTACTGTGCATATGAACATATGTAAATATCCCCCCTTTGGGAAAAAAATGGCACTGCACTTAAAAGCTTTTTTAGTGTTATGTACTGTTTCGTGGTTTATCTCCCAATTCAATCCTAAATTTCTTTTATCATGCCCTTGCGATTGTTCCAAATGTGCTGAAATTTGTTTTTGCACATTCCTATTGACTTATATAAGCATTCAAGTTCTTAAATAATAATGGAAATTTCTAGGGAGTAGATAGACAAGTTCCCCCAAAAACACTAAAATTCATATTGTTATAACATTGTCACAGTTTGCATCACAATAAAAAAAATTCAGTGAAGAATATTCACATTTGTAAGACCCAAAAGTTCTTGAAAAGTTCAAAGTTAGATCAGCATATATTCTTAAAATATTCTGTCTTATAGATTAAAAATTGATTGATGTACATGAAATAGTCACAAGAAATTGCATTGCATTTCAGTAGGCTTTGACATGGAAACATTTCTTTAAAAAGACAGGAAGAGTCTTGAAATCCATAAAGATTTTAACATTCATAGAAAAGAAAGATATTTTTCCACACTATCTCTAAGACTTTACTTGTGGGTATAAAATAAATGTTATAAACATACAAAGAAACAATAGTCAATACAGCAAATTTGCAGTTACATCATTTTTTATACAAAAAGAAAGAAAACAAATGTCCTTACTTACTGAGCCAGCCCCCGACTAAATCCCTCATGTCCAAAGTCTTTTGTCTCTTTATAAAAATGTCGTCATTCTTGGACATTGTGACACTCATTAGCTAACATGCTTGATCAGGAGCCCACTCAAAAATCTGCATCTCTCAGATTTAGTGGATATGTTCTGACATAAATTCACTTACACTATATTTGATAGTTATTTTATATTTTAAAAAAGCTAAACACACAGAACTAACAGATGAAAATGGAACAAACAGACCCATCCCACAGCACTCTCAGCCAGCAGTCGGAGATCAATAAACCCTAAATAAATTGAATAAATCAAGTCTTCTCGAAGGATTGTTTCACAGTATATTATAAAGAGGTCAGGCGACATAACACATCATTGCCTCACTCCTCTTATAATCTGTTTAACATATTATTCCTTCACAGGTATTCCCCATCAATTCTCACAGGGGCGTTTTGGTCCCAGTACAAATTGTTACTAATTCTTAGATTCTATATATTTTCCATATAGTTCTATGTTAGCTCTTCCAAAATTTTAAAAAGCTCATCATGTCTAACTTTATCTAAAGCCTTTAAATAATCTAGGAATAATAAATTACAGATCTTTCTGCACTTCAATATTTCTTTACATTAACATTGTTAGGGTGAATATATTTTTGGAGCCCTTGTCAGGAAAAAACCCTGTGAATTGTGATTTGGATCTGGTCTTAGACTTTTTCTCATTCTTACCATTAATATCACTATAACACAATTTTTGTAAAATGACAACTCATAGGCTTAAATTATTCTATGTACAAAATATATTCTGTTGATAAAAGAAAGGGCTAAATAGTCTACTGATCCTACAACTGAATTGCAGAATTGTCAAACTTTGAAATTGCGAGGGCCTCTTTCTGAAGTTTACAACAACAGAATACAGGTACAAAAAATATTTTTTTAAACATTTAAAATATTGTATATGTGTTACAACGCGGTGAAATCAGGCGCTCGTCAATTTTTAGGCATATATGGGATTATTGGTATCACCTTATAGCCTGTTCATTTGCCTTCTTTTTGATAACAAAAAAAACTCATCTGAAGTCGAAATATTTGCGATTAAAGAAGGTTTGGGTCACCTAGTTTCAGAGGTAAAATTAGCGAGAATATGGCCGCCAAAGTGTGTTAACTTCCATAGCCTGAGAGTCCTTGGAAACTGGAAATCTACATTTTTTGTATCATTAATCACTGTTTTTCAGTAAAATCCACACAGAAATGTGTTTTTAAATGGACATAAAGGTGTTGAGCCAAGAAAGGAAGATCAGTAAGAAATTACCCGTCGGCCAAAAAAAATGCAAATTCCTTTGATTTCATTATTTTGACATCATGGTGAAATCAGGTGCTTATCAAAATACAGAAATCGGTGAAACAGGAATTTTTCTGCCAGTTTGGAAATTTTTATCGAATTTTTATTTTTTGGCTCAACCTCTTTTATGTCCAAATAAAAACACACTTCCAGGTAAATTTTACTGAAAAACATTGGTTAAAGGCACAAAATATGTCATTTTCTGTTTTCATGGACTTTTTAGAGAGTTAATAGAATTTACCAAACATTGGCTGCCATTTTCTCGCTAATTTCCTCACTGAAGCGAGGCGACCTCATTTCCCTCAATCGCAAATATCTTGAGTTCTATTCAAGATAGACGGATATTTATTTCATAAGAAGCAAGGCAAACAAATCAGCTTTTATACGACACCAATAACCCCATAGATGCCCAAAAATTGACGAGTGCCTGATACCACTGCGTCATGACACATATATACGTTTGTATTATACAGTAGTCTCTGCCAAAGATCTCGGTGCTTGGGAGCAAGGAAAATGTAGGATCTCTGGCAAACGGGATCTTATCTGACACACCAAGGGAAGAATCTACTGTGACACATGTTAAGGCCAACAACTGGTAAAATGGTCTCCCTTCACTCTGAAATGAATTGACGTTATCCCTGGATGGGTTTATGACATGTATGACATGTAGTAGTATGATGTAGCAAGCAAAGAGTGGTCAACTTTGATGACCAATCACAGTGGTATAATTATAATAATAAGGCATACCATTTTCACTTATTTTCCTATCATCATGAGTCTCAAGATCTACGTTTATCCAGTTGCCCCTCCCCTTTCTGTCCAAAATTTACAGCTTTCCATTTCTGACCGAGTTCTCCCCTCCTTTGTCATTAGGCACCATTATATTGTGACAACACCAACTAAAATTCAGTCTGTACCACAAATTCGGGAGTAGCGATAAAACCGCTGTTAGGGTCAGGGAAGAGTTCACAGTTCAATGTGATCTCGCCAGGAACAAACTTGTAGGCCACCCAGCATGTGATGTGAGTTTGGGTGGAGAGCTCAGATGCGAGTGCGATGTTTGAGGAAACAAACACATGGGTCAGTTCACACCTCGGTGCGATACAGTCTGGGGAAAACATTGTATCCTAGATGCGCACAGTATAAGAGAGCGTGTATAGATTTACCGTTTCATCGAGTTTTACAACGTATGTGGTCACATTCACAAGAGTAGCTGATCTTTGACGCGGCGGCCAGTTCAATGATCTCAACTTTTCACTCTTGGTTGATCGGCTGTGCCCGCCTGGGTTTTTGTTCCGTAAATTATTATTTGAAATGCAGGATCTTTTAAACCGAATGTAGACCTTCAGAGTGAATCAGAGCAGGATTTTATGGGAGACTTTTAAAAATTCTGTTTTTTTAAACCAGTGGGATCTTAAGCGAACCAGGATTGTAAGCAGTGGGATCTTAGGTGGAGACTAATGTATATGGATTGCTTTTTCTGGTCCTCCATTGTGAATGTACTATTTAAGCAAAAAAACAACCCCAAAAAGAAGCATGGCATCATGTTTAATAATTAGGGGAAATTACAAGAAAAAGCATATAAGAATTGATATTATAATGTGATTTAGATAATCTGGAATATGTTTTATCAAATGATACTTACCAAGTATCCAACAACGGTCCAAAAAATGAAGACTACAGTTGCACAAACTAATATCTTGAAATAGCACCCTTTCCACAGCTTCCGCCTTGCCATAGTTGTTGATTTATCACTGAATTTTACTCAGAAGATGTCCCATAATAAAATTGGGATTTCGTAAAGACCTTATGACTACAAAACAGACTGAGCATTGAGGAGAAACATGAACAAGTATTTATATGAATGAGACTCAGTTGACTATTGATTATACATCCTGATTAGCCAGGAAGGTTACACACTGACACTGTGGTGACACAGTCAGTCAGCATCAAGACAATCATCTATCAAGACAAAATCGACAAGATCTAGTTCTAAAACTTGATACTGAATGGTATGGCCAACAGAATACTTTAGTAGGCCTACTTATTATCTAGATCATTTCGACTTTCAGCAATATGTTGGTTACTCTCACGCTCAGTTTCAGTAGAAATCTAGTTCTCAGTGAAGTCCCAATGTTGTCTCAGTCCGAGTCTTTTCCTACTCTCCAGGTTAGAAGGTGAAACTGCCTATAATTTAAAGGTGAAAAAACAAAACCCACGCAATATCTATTATATAAAAATGTCATCCCTGGATAATGTCAACCGTCAATGTTAGTCAGAAGTTTTAAAACAAGAATCAAGTAAATAAACGATGCTAAGCCGACCTCGCTATCCCCAATAATGTAGCAGCCTGAGATCAATGATAGTTTATTAGAACTCTTCAATGTTAGGACAATGAAAATACCAGATCAATCAAAGTAGCTGGGCAGCAGTATCAGCAGTTTACACTTCTTTTTTTAATGAATCCAGTATAGTATCAAATTCACATCGCTATTTGATTGCTTTCGTTAATAATTTATTTTCTAAGAAATACATGTAATAACAATAATATAATACTTAACTGAATGCGAAAATAATTGCTCTCATATAATGTCAAAAATAACTTTGTTTAATTACCTTCTCAAAAGAAATAAGAACTGTCACGAAAATAGTGCAACTTATTTACGGATGCCACTACTAACTAATGTATGTGCAGTTTTTCAAGCCTGTGAATATCACAAAATAAAGATGTTCCTTCCCACACCTCTCAATTTCTCCTTCTCTCCTTCTCTCCCTCTCTCCATCTCTCTCTCTCTCTCACTCTCTCTCTCTCTCCCACTCTCTC